TCATTAATCAATTATTAAAGTTATCGATATAAATAAAGAGATTTTAATTTATGTTTCCATCTGTTTCCGCTGTTTTAATAAAACGTTTCTCCATCGTTTCCGTTTTCGACCTGATCAAAACTATAGACTGAAATGCATTTTCGCAATGGTAAAGGAAGTACAATCATCTAGATGCATATCTAAAGTCTAAACCAACTTCTTCCACAGTTTTGCCATCTTGATGGCAAAGCTTCAATTTATGCTACATGACTCAGCTTGAACAAATTGGACTACTTAATTAAACAAGATAAAACGCCTTTTGTGGCTATTTCCCACAGGAACATCAGGATCCAGTTGACTTATCAAAAATGATAACACATTAAATAAAATGGATGCATCCAATTCTTCTAACCATGTAAGAGAAACTCAAGAATAATGACTTTTCATTGCAATAAAAAAGGATGCAGACAAAATAACATTGAACCTTTCCATATTCCATAAAGATTCATTCTCAACCAACAATTTATCAATCATGAGACTGCAACACCCATGACTACTACTTCACATGGATATAAAGGTGGGTAGTACACCAATTCTACAAGTAAACAACAATTAGGACCAACAAAATATTACAAAGAAAGATTAAGGAAAAACAAACTAACATTGTTAGTGGGAAATCAGGGAATTGTTGGGTCCTTCTAGAGGTCTTAAATACGGTGATCCTTTATCACTTTTTGTTTACCTGTGTGGGGAGGGCTCCAAGTAGATTCGTAGAAAGGCCTAAAGAGGAAAACCTGGCTGAGGGCTTTGTGATTGGAAGGAATCGATTTGCAATATCCCATTTACGGGATACCAACCACACTACATTCTTTCTTTCAGGTGATGAGGAGAAAATTTTTAGTTTGAAATCTACATTGCAAATTTTGGGATTGATTTATGGGTTGAAGGTTGATGAGCAAGAATTCTATTATTGGCATCCATGGAACGCATGAGAAAATGATTAGTTGGCAGGAGTTAGTGTGGTTCAACAAAAAAAATAGCTAATGCAATCTTTGGGTCTCCCTTGCTGAGGAATCCTAGATATGAAAATTTTGGGAACATGTGAATAGGAATATTTGCAAGAGATTGGATGGAAAAGTTATTTAGTCTTCAAAAAAACACATCCTTTCCTATGCGCAATCTATGTTCTCACTGTTGTCTTAAAAAATTCTTAAATTTCTCTCAAGCCAAATAACCTAAAATATAGCAATCATCACACTTCTACAAAGGTATTTAGCTTTTTTACTCCTTGCAAAGCCCCAAAACTCAATTTCAAACATCTCCCTACAAGAACCTGGAGCAATCCAACATAGCTCCAGTAACCCAAACAATATACTCCATAAAGCCAAAAGAACAATGAAGAAAGAGATGATCCAACGCTCTGCTTACTTTATTTGCACAAAACACATCACTGTAGAAGCAAAAACTTATTAGTCCTCCTCCTTTGAAGCAAGTCACTAGGATTAATTCTCTTCTGAACCATAGTCAAAGAAAATACTTGAACTTTAACAGGCACATTTTGCTTATCAAATCATCTTGTAAAGTTCAATGTGTGGTATAGAGGGGTCAACAATTAGGGTGTCAAAATAAGATTTGCAAGAGAATTTCACTGAAGAAAGAATAGCACAACCCATCCAATCAGGAATGTTTTGTTTAAGAACCACCCCTTCCAATAAAGACAATAAAGAACAAACCTCAACAGTTTCCCTATCATTGAGGTTTTTAATGAAATTTATGGAATCATAATGAGATGGAAAGAGAGAATGTACAAACACAGAAACAATGAAGAAAATGAGCTCTCACTCCTCAAAGCATCTTCCTGAAACCAAATTTCTACCCCATTACAAACAATGAAATTAATGTACTGGACACAAGAAGACCAGGCTTGGGATATGTAATTATGTATTTCCATGGACCACAATCATTCACCTATGTAACCACGAGTAATCAAATCCTTATCATGAATCCATATTTATTTTTGGTAACATCGTACCATAATGAGTCTGTTAGAAGTTATTTAGTCTCTTATTTTTTATCTTTATTGTTATGAAGGGTACTTTTATTTTTTTGATATTTGAACTATAAACATAAGGGACAAAGAGAGAGAACCTAACTCTTCTTTTTTTCAGTCGTATTTCTTTTCTTTCTTCTCTATTTCTCCCCTTTTTCTCTTTACATTAATTCAACATAGTATCATAGCATGATCCGTCATTCTTGGATTCATCTATATGCGAAACAAGACCAAATTATTTATCTTATTTTATTTTTCCTTGTTCCGCCAAATAAACACTTTTTTCAGATTTTTTTTGTCTGTTCGCAAAAAAAAAAAACAAAAACAAATCCTTGGTCGAGTTGATGAGTAGAGTTTATCTATTATTTTTCTGAATTTTTTTGAAATTATTTGAAGTTTCGTTCTATTTTTTATTTAATTTTTAGAATTTTAGGCCAATTTTTTAGATATATGATTTTCAACCTCCTGTTAAAGGATTTGTTGTTTGAAATAGACACTATGAGTGCCGATCTATAATGCCCAAGGATTGTCTGGTGATTTGAAGTTATTTTTTTGGTGCTTTATGGGTTGAAGAAGGGCGGCAAGCATGTTTTTTGGCATTAGTCAAGATGATATCCAACAAGCCTAGGCAGGGCTAGGCCTTTTTCCCGTGAGTCAGAGGTCCTAGGTTTCTGCTCTCTTCCGAGCTAGGTGCCTTAGCTTTTGGAATATCTTTCTTTTCTGAGCCTTATGATGGAGGTGTCCTTTCATGCAAGGACTGGTTTCCCCGATCTAAGCTAGCTCAAGGCTCTGATATATTCACAAGTTGTGGGCAATTTGCTTTGTGCTTCGGCAATGATTTCGCTCATTCTTTGTGATTTTCAAGTTTGATTAAATACAATTTTGAGATAGTAGTTATATTTTTTGGTTTTTTTGAGCCATTCGGCGTGTATCAGGCCTTTAAAAAGAAGTATAAATCAAATTTGAACATGTCACAATCTAGCATGATATCTAATAAATAGTTAAAAAGTGTTGCAAGTCAGATTGGACTTCAGATTGAAAATCCCAACCTATAGATTAAAACGGAAGCTTGATGGGCACAATTACCTTGCTTAATCACAATCGGCTATGTTGTTTGTTAGGAGTAAGGGAAAAATGGGTTCCTTGACTAGAAAAATTGACCAACCGAAGACCAATGATCCACTTTATAATATGTGGGAGGCTGAGAATTCAATGGTTATGCCTTGGCTACTACACTATGTAGCCAGAGATTAGCAATGACTATTTATTTCTATGTACTGCCATGGAGATTTGGGAGGCAGTATCACAGATTTACTTGAAGATGGTAAACATTGCACAAGTTTATGAGTTGAAAATCTCGATTCACAATACTAGTATAAGGCAACAATTAGTATTGCTCACAATCCAGTTCAACATGACAGAACCAAACATGTTGAAGTCGACATACATTTTATCAAGGAAAAATTGAGTGCTGGCTTAATTTGTACTTCATTTGTGAAGACGGGGAATCAATTTGCAGATATTTTGACAATTTACAGATATTTTGCATATATTTTGTACTTCATCTAGTTAAGTGTTCTATTCAATCCATTGTAAGCTGGACATGTGTGATATCTTTGCAACAGCTTGAGGGGAATGGTAAAAGCTATTTAGTCTCTTATTTTTTTTTTTATTGTTATGAAGGGTACTTTTGTCCTTTTGATATTTGAACTATAAATATAAGTGACAGAGGGAAACACCCAACTCTCTCGTTTCTTTTTCAGCTGTATTTCCTTTCTTCTCTATTTATTCCCTTTTCTCTTTACATTAATTCCACTACTATTTTCCTATCTAGGTTGTGCTACTAGCAATAATACTTCCAATAGCTACTCACAATCAAACTTATAAAGGGAGTGGCATTAAGCTAGTTGAGCAAATTACCCTACAATTGAAATCAGAAATCTAGAAAGTGACAAATAGAATAAAAGCTAGAAAGGAAAAATAAATAAATAAAGTCCTATTTACCCCTCCCCTTCTTTTCACATCCATCTCATATATAGCACTGAGAACTACATCTACAACCCTCATGCTATTCACAAAGTGCTAGAGAATATTAAACCACACACGAGATAAAATCCATGTTTTTCAATTGATTAACTGAGTGCCCCAATTGACATGGAAAGCAGTAAACTGAATGACATGGTTTCTCATGCAAGGCATGCCAAATGAGACGATTATGCAGTGAATATATTTCACTTGAACTACTGACCAACAAATTAAGTGCATTTAAATTGATCAGGAAGTGGTAAACTTTATGACATAGTATCTCATACAATATACCCAAATGAGAAGAAGACAAATATAAATTTACATTAAATGAAAAGAAACTGGTTATAGTTACACAAGACATATAAGAGGAGTAAATGGCGTTACTAGACCACGACCAAGGAATCCCAAGCCACAAAAACCATGATATATGTTAACAGGATATAGCTAGCACAGTAATACTCCATATTCATGGAGTTCAAAGTTCTGAGATTGCACAAAGCAGAGGAAAAAATTATAATCTGCTGAATATCTATTCTACTAATAAAGGAAGAGGCCAGGCTGTGGTTTCCACATTTGAAATACCTATAATACCCTCTTCTCTTTTTATCTTAATTACTCATAACCATAGTTATTACTATCCATAATTACATGTAGTTCCTCATAATTAATCCCATATAACTCTCATATCTCTCTCACTCTCCTCTAATCTCACTCAAAAATAGAACACGCAGATAACCCTGTGCAGGACTACTCGTATTACACAAGTGCATTAGAAAATGGCGATGGAATTTACATCTTTGACTTCAGCTACCGATTCAAAGACATACTGCAGCCTGTAGGTACTTGTCCCAATACCAATAAAGAGAAATACACTAAAATAAAAGATTCAATTTAATCATATCAAAAGACAATGAGCACTTCAACTATGGTCACATCTTAAATTCAAATGAGAAACTAAACAAAATTGAAAAGTGTTCTACATATATTATTGAGAAACACATATAACTTTTTATAAGCTGCTATCAGTACAAATCATTGATAAACAATCGAAAATCCACGGAAAGTAGAAAAGAAAATATCTATAACATTAACAAATTTCACAAGCAGCATACCCTAAGAACTATATGATTCTCCAAATTCTTTTAAGGCCATCATGACATACCACAGAAGTCTGGCCCCCGTGTGCAGCGACTCATTGTTCGACCCAGCAAGATACAAAGCGACACGGACTTTCACAAAGAATATTGAGATGCCCTGGCAGCCATACTAGTCACCTGAGCCTGCATTTGAGCAGCCCTAACTTTTGAAGCTGTGGCTCGATGGAAAAACTGTTCCCTCGACAATAACCTCACAGTCCTCAAATACTGATCAATCGGTACTGCCCCCTCTTGCACCGCCTTATCCATTGAATAAATCACATCCTCTATAGCCATATCCGAAGTCGAACACTCGAGCATTTGCTTAGAAAGAATATCACAGGGCTCAAAAGCATCATCCACATTCACATTGCCCATTTTTGCCATCTTCGCTTCATTGTCTCTCAACCACCCCTCCAAAACATCGGTATTTGTCAAAACCATCTGCAATTGCTGCTCCAACCCTTCTTTCTCATCCTGCATTTCCCTCAACCCTTTTAACAACTGTTCCTCTCGCTGTCTCAACACCATTTGAGCGGTAGATAAACCGTCTATTTCTGCCTCCCTCGTCTTTCTCAAAGCCCCTATATCGCTATGCAAGCTTTCCATAAGCTTATTAATGGCATTCCTCTTGAAAACCTCAGTCGGGTCCTCTGTTGCAGCCACCGCCGGCCTCTGCGGGGACGGTGGCGGAATCCTCCCTCCACCGCCACCACCACTACCACTCCCATATGGTGATGGTGGATAAGTCCTGGGAGGAATCGCCGGTCGGGTCGACCCCACCGATGCCGAATTCAAAGAAACCACTGAAGACCCATTATTTTGGGAGGCAAAACTAGGGTTAGGGTTAGTAGAGTTTGGAGTGGGTCTACGCTGCGCATAGAGCGGCGGATCACGGCCAAAGAAGTGGCTCAAATTGCGAGCCAAATCAACCAAATTGGAACTAGGGTAGACCCAACTTTGCAAATATTGAATCGATACGACCCCCGAAGGATTGACGAAAGAGTGGGGGCGTTTGATGATCATGTCACGAGTTGGGTTGACGAAGACTAAAGGAGGGTGGCGAGGGTAAGACTCCATGAGCCAAATGATGATCGGAATGTTGTAGGTGACGTCTTGGAAGATCATCGGAACGGTACCGTCAGCTTGTAGAAGGTTGACGGTACGGCCGTCGTTGTGGGTGAAGACGGCGGTCTTGGGTTGGATTGACGGGTAAGCGTCGGATACAGAGACGAGGTGTTGACGGATCAGCCATTTCACGTCTTCGGAGTAGGGGAGGGCCGATGGGCCACGTTGAGAGAGAACGCTGCTCAGAAATTGTTGGGTGTATTGGGAGTTTGGGGATGATGACCCTGAATGGACTACCGGTGGTGGAACCATCGCCGTCGCGCGTGCGTGCGTGCGTGCGTGCGTGTGTGTGTGTGGTTGTGTTTGTGGTGGTGGTGGTGGTGGTGGTGGTGGTGGTGGTGATGGGACGGTGGATTTGTAGTCTTTTGTGATTGGGAGTATTTCGGGAGGCTTTTGATTAAGCGATTCCTTCGAGAGGTTGAATTGCGCGTATGGGTATGCTCACAAGTTTACATTAGGAGAAGACTTTGGAGAAGGCAGAGTGACACGCGCATAAAATATGACTTTTTTCTAAGGTTAATTACATTGGAGTCCTAAGTATGTAATTCATTTTATTTTAGTTCTTAATATTTTAATTATTTATATTTGTATTTTATTTTAATTAAATTGTTTTAGTTTCTATACTATTGAATATATTTTTATGTGATTCTTTAAACAGAACACATGTAAATTACAAATGATTTTTTTAGGGCAATCATAGTTTGTACTTTGAAAGATTAAAAAATATTTAATTTATACCCTCAAAGATTAATTGTTTTAAATTACACGTTTAATTAAATTAATTGGTAATAATGTGATCCCAATCATAATGTGAGTTGCAATTTTCATCAAATTGATATCTAAGTGAGACATAGTGAAAAAGGAAAAAGGTCATAATTTAACAAAAATCATCACGTACATTTTATGTGGCTATCAATTTGACAAAAATCACAATCCCAACTATATTGTCCATGAAGATGCACATGAAAAAGGGAAGCGTCCGACAAAAGTCAACACGTGTATCTAACGAGGCTAATAATTGATTTCATATTAAGACTATGAATGATAATAATGGAGAATATCTTTATATTACTTCAATTGTTTCCGGCCTGAAGCTTATATTAGAGAAATTTCCTACAACCTTATATTAGAGAAATTTCCTACTTTCTCCTCTAGGTTGTACTGTACAACCATAAGAACAATTGAATCAAGCAATGTGACGAGCTAGAAGCTCTCTAATCCAAATACTTTTGTACTTTGGCATGATCGACTTGGTCACTCTAGGTCAATAATGATATGTCGAATCATCCATAACTCACATGAACATCCTATAAAGAACCAAAAGATTCTTTTGCCAAATCATTACACATGTAATGCTAGTTCACACGGAAAATTGGTTATTAGACCATCTCCCACAAAAGTCAATGTTGAATCTCCAACCTTTCTACAAAGATTTCAAAGAGATATTTGCGGACATATACACCTATCATGTGGATCATTTCAATATTTTATGGTCTAAATTGACACTTCAACACGATGGTCACATGGTTCTTTATTATCTACTCGGAATATTGTTTTTATCTATTTTCTTGCCTAAATAATCTGATTACAAGCACAATTCTTAGATTACCCAATCAAAAAAATTCATCTTGATAATGTCAATGAATTTTCATCTTAAACATTTGATGATTATTGCATGTCTGTTAAGATTGATGTAGAGCACCCAGTTGCTCATATCCATACCCAAAATGGTTTAGCCGAATCTCTCATAAAAAAACTTCAGTTGATTGCTTGAACTTTACTTCTAAGAAGAAAGTTACCAATTTCTGCTTAGGGACATGCAATATTACATGTAGTAATCTTAGTTCATATCCGACCAACTGATTACCATCAATACTCTCAAATACAACTCGTACTTGTTCAACCCCCAAATATTTCTCACGTACGAATATTTGGTTGTGTTGTATATGTCCCAATTGTACCCCCGCAACGCACTAAGATGGGTTCACAACGTCAACTAATAATTTATGTTAGGTATGATTCACCTTCAATTATTAGGTATCTTGAACCTTATACAAGAGATGTTTTTATTACAAAATTTTTCAGATTGTCATTTTGATGAGACAGTATTCCCACTGTTAGGGGGAGGAAATATGTCGCCTGCTAAAGAACGGTATGAGTTGTCTTGAACTTCAAAAACTATGTCTCATCGTGATTTACACACTCTGCAATGTGAAATTGAAGTACAAAGGAGTATTTATCTCCAAAGAATTGCAAATCAATTGGCTGATGCATTTATTGATGCAACAAGAGTAACCAAGTCTTATGTGTCAATTGTGAACACTCCATCAAAGATTGATGTTCCAATTGAAAAATTCATGGCAGCAAATGAATCATCAACTACATGCATGAAGCGTGGATGACCCGTGGGTTCAAAAGATTCTGCACCCCAGAAGAAGAGATTAAATGGACAATCACATACAACTCTTGAAGAAGTTGTTGAATTAGGGTATAAAGATTCACCCATATCATCTCAAATGATATCTTCTGAAGAGAAAAAAATATCTAAAATGACACAAACTCTTGAAGATATTCAAATATCTGTAAATGAAGAAATTTTTATTAACTATGCATGTACAAAAGAGATGTGAGATCGCATAAAAATGAGCATCAGTGAGGTATTTTATTTTGTGGTAGCTACTGAAATCTTGAATGGTGATGATCTCGAACTATGCACAATAGATGAATGTCGACGTCAACATGATTGACCAAAATAACAAGAAGCAATCCAAGCAAAATTGGATTCTTTTGCAAAACGTGGAGTATTTAGACATGTAGTCCTAACATTTAATGATGTAAAACTTATTAGTTATAAATGGATTTTTGTGAGAAAAAAGAATGACAAAAATAGGATCAGAAAATAAAAAGTGTGCCTAGTAGCGCAAGGGTTCCTACAGAGACCTAGGACTGATTATAAAGAAACATATTCACCAGTAATGGATGCAATTACATTTCGAAATCGTATTAGTCTAGCAGTTTCAAAAGAAATAGGCACGCGTCTTATGGACATTGTTAATGCATATTTATACGGAAAATTAGATACTAATATTTATATAAAAATCCTTGAAGAATTGCAATTGCCTGAAGCAAACACATCAAAACTATGCAACAAGTACTCAATTAAGCTGAGACGATCCTTATATGAATTGAAATAATATGGAAGAATGTGGTATAACTGTTTCAATGAATACTTGGTAAAAGAAGGGTATGTTAACAATCTCATATGCCTATGTGTATTTATTAAGAAATTAGAATTTGAATTTGTCTTCATTGAAGTATATGTTGATGATATAAATCTAATTGGAACTCTTGAAAAGTTGTTGAATGTTTGAAAAAAGAATTTGAGATGAAAAATTTTGGAAAAATAAAGTACTGTTTTGGCCTGCAAATCGAGCATACGTTAAATGAAATTCTTATTCATTAAACAACCTATACTGAAAAGGTCTTAAAGCGGTTTAGCATGGATAAAACATATCCATTAAGTACTTCAATGGTTATTCGATCTCTTGATATCAATAAGGACTATTTTCATTCTAAGGAGGAAAATGAGATGTTTCTTGTGGTCCTGAAGTATCATACCTAAGTACAATTGATGTTTTGCTGTACTTAGCACAATATACTAGGCTTGTATAGCATTTGCAATCAACTTGTTAGTAATATTTAGTTCTGCACCAACTCGACGATATTGGAAAGGCATAAAACATGTCATACGCTATCTTCGTGGAGCTACAGATTTGGGTTTGTTATACTCAAAGCAATCAACCAATGGTCCATACATATTAGATCCCCACAAGGCTCGTTCATAAATTGCATATGTTTTCACATGTGGTGAACAATCTCATGGCGACCTACTAAGCAGACTTTGATTGCTACATCTTCTAATCATTCTGAGATATTTGCACTCCATGAAGTGAGTCGTGAATGTGTGGGGTTAAGATCCGTAGTCCATCATATCCAAAATACTTGCAGACTTCCTTTGATTACAAATTCACCAACAACCTTATATGAAGATAATGTTGCTTGCATTGCATAAATTAAATAAGAGTCTATCAAAGGTGATAGAACTAAGCATATTTCGCCAAAGTTTTTCTACACTCATGAACTCCAACAAAATCATAAAATTGAAGAAAAACAGATACGATCTAGTGACAATCTTGCAAATGTATTTACTACAGTTTTATCATCATCAATGTTCCAAAAATTGGTATATGACATTGGAATGCATCGATTTTGTGACCAATCCAATTGATTTCTTATCAAGGGAGATTTTCATCAAGGAAAGTATCCACATTAAAGATGTAGGACATATGCACGTTGTACTCTTTTTCCTTCATCTAGATTTTGTCCCATTGGGTTTTCCTAATAAGGTTTTAATGAGGCAACATTAGTGTGTCCAACACTATTCTAAAATTCATTTGAATATGTACTCTTTTTTCTGCGCTGAATTTTTTCCCATAACATTTTTCTAGTAAGGTTTTAACGAGACATATTATCTTAGCATAGTAGTCATCTAAGGGGGAGTGTTGTAAATATATTTTATATAGATATGGATGAACTCTAGCATACTAATTTAATAAGTGTTAATATATGACTCTATAACCTTTACCCAGAGTTAATATTGTATTTGATGACCGTTATGATTTGAGACATATAAAAAGAGATATTCACCACATTCACAAGTTTGTCATGCAATACCCAAATAAAGGTAAAAAAATAAATTAACCAATCAACAAAACCAAAACTCATTCAAGGGAAATGTTATGTAGACTTAAAAGGTAGATTTGATCAAATACAACCATTGAATATGTAATGCATCCTAATAAATATTGAAATACACAATAAAACCAATGACAGTGATTGATCAAGTCTACATTTTAAGTCTATGTAGCATTGTTCCTCATTCAAATAGCACTTTACATTCCTTCCCTATATCCCCGTCTACATCCCTCTTATTTCCCCATTCGACCTGCAATACCTTTTCCATCACTCTTGCTTCGACAGCCCCTTCCCCTTCTCTTTTCCCAACCTGCAATCCCCATCTTCTTTTTCCTTCCCCACCCCAGCCCATAAAACTCCCTCCCTCATTATGTCGATGACATTACCATAACATTCCAAACTCCATGGCAGTCGACCACCACCACTGTCCTAACAAAACTATACAAGTTCTATGACTCATACAAACAAAACCTATATAAGCCACCAGTTTACACAGTATTCAACAAATCTATACAACAGTTTTCAAAAATATTAAGCAAATATATACACAATGCCAAAAAAACATTACAATAGAAACAATAGTTAAGGAAGAACAAAACCAAAATATTAATTCCATCAACTTGGAACCAAAACCCATTAGCAATACATTAATTCCATTTTCAATAACTTGGAACCAAAATGAAAATTGAGA